GTTTTGTTTTCCTTGACATTTTGATTTTGTATGCATCATTGTTTATTTTAATTGGATGACTTGTTTTGTATTTATATTACAATTCATGATTGAAATAAACAAACAAACAAATCCCTGAATCTCCTGTGGTAGCCATGCGGAGCTGACGAAATGTTTACTGGTACAAAGCTCCTCCCTTGAGCTCAGTCTCCAAAGCATTGCTGTGAAGACATGCTGAAGTGGCAGTGTCAGAAATGGTAGGAGGTTTTTAAATAGACAGAGGTCATTTTCAAGGCGTTCAGCTAGACTGTGGCTGTGTCTCAATTCATGGGTTGCAGCCAATGTCGGACGATTACGTCACTGCCCCGCGCTGTAGGCTGTCCCAATTCTTAGGCGCCTACTCATGCGACAAACAAAACCCCAAAAACATAGGCTGCATCTGAGTATCCTACGTGGCCGACGGTAACCCAGAATTCATTGCGCTGTCAGCAAATTAAACTAGAAAACAAAGACTGTGAAGTTTTTTTTTTAGTGACGAAGTTTGAAAATTTATATGGACTGAAAAATGTAAGTCAAACAACTTAACTGAAGAAAGTTTTGTTGCAATATGTTAAATAAAATGCAGTTACATGTACTGATACTGAAGCTAAACCCAAATTGGTAATGCTTTTTATATATTTACATGTAATGTTTTTATATTAAAATTAAAAATTATACCTCGGAGGGGGGCAAACCTGGAGATAAAAATGAGTTTTTCATGAATCTGAAGTAAAAACCCAGGAATCCTCTTGTTTTAACCCGGACCTTAAACTCTCTGAATATTCTCTGAAGCTTAGATTCAGTAAAAAGAACCCGGCAGCGAGAGCGTTCGACGCTTTGAAATCAGATTTTCTCAGATCTCCTGACCCTGTGAGTCATACACAGCAGTGACAAAATGGGTCACTTGATCGTTGTAGCAAAGTAAATTGCTGCCTCTTTGTCAATCTATTAACATAATCTTCTGCAAGTATTTATAACTTTAATCCTTCCTTTACCTTCTTTCCTCTCTGATGCTTTTAGCTCAGACCGAAAGGATTAACAAATTACCCTTCAGTGAACTTTAGAAACCTGCGCAAAACAGAGATAAAGAAATAAAGATGAAAAAGAAAAACTGAACAGGAAGAGTGATTATTTTATCAGGAGATTAAAAAAAGAAAAAGCTGGGAAGAAAGGCAGATAAAATGAGCGCAGATTGAGTGTGAGTGAAATATGTTTCTGCAGTGACTCTGATGCTCAGAACGTAATAACAGAAGCGACCGTGCTACCTGGCTGAATGTCAATGGCTCTGAATGTGATTATAACCCATTCATGGATCCAGATGGGAGACTGGATAGCCGTTAATGGTCCTGAATGCAGCAAACGCTTCGAAGGAGGACAAGAACAGGGTGTGTTTATGTCGGTGTACAATGTAGATATTTAGAAAGTGTTGACTGTGTTTCTTTAACTTTACCACTTTAAAACTATGTTTAGATTTCACATCTATCTGATCTCTGGAAGTCTTAATGCAACTTTAGTAAAACCGATCTATTGTGTTCATCAGTACAACGATAATACAGATGTCCTTAAAGACCTGGGGTCGCATTCATAAAGCTTTTTTACGCACAAAACGGGCCCAGAAACTTGCGTAAGCCTCTTTTCACACCAAGCTTCTGATTTATGAACTCATGCACACGTTCATTTTGGAGACGGGAAGCTGGGGAGAAGGGTGGTGAGCTTATTTCGGTAACACTTTACAATAAGGTACACAGAAATTGCTCAACCACTGAGGAACTACTGAGGACATCAAAGAGGAACTACTAAGTACTTAGAAACAACTTCATCACTACTTCCTGAGTAGTCCCTCTTTTGTATCCTTAGTAACTACCTAGTGATTACTTAGAAACGACTGAGTAGTTACTGAGTACACCTAAGAGGAACTAATTTGTACTCAGTAGTTCTTGAGTAGTTCATCTTTTGTCTTTAACTACTTACTAACTACTTACTAACTACTCAGTAGTTCATCTTAGGTGTACTTAGTCTCTGTGTCCAAAACGGGCGGTCTACCCGGTCGAGGTGGGCCGGGTCCTTGGTAGACAGCGAAGATTGGAAATAAGTAGTTGTGAATTTGGACGGTCTAGCCTCCCGTCCTTACCTCGGTGTACGATCTGTCACCTAGTAAATGTGACGACACTAAACAGAAACAAAATTAGATCAAAATTAGAAAAATATAATATATTAGCGTTATTAATATCACAAAACAATAAAATTAACTTAAAGGTAATATTTGAAGAACTAAATGACCCGCCGTAGGTGCATGTTTATTTCGCATATTTTTTCTGACAAAAATAATATTTACAAGCATGTTTATACAAATGTCAAAAGTATTACCAACACAACTGCTTGTTTTTTTTTATTTTTATATCACCTTATTTTTATTTAAAACATATTCTTTTCTTTCGCTTCGTCCAATACTAGCATAAAAAAAAATCTCCGGTTGGCCCGCAGTGCATTATGGGATATGGTGAGCCGAGAAGGGTCCATCGGACAAGTGAAGGACGCATTTGTTGGCCGCATCGTAGGAGTCTTCGGTTTTGGACAGCCTCTATCGTGGCGTTGTGACGTAAGCGGCCGACGAATTTGGCCTTCGGAGGACCCGGCCCACCGTTTTGGACACAGCCAGTAACTACTGAGTAACAACAGAGTAGTTACTCAGTAGTTACTGAGTAACAACAGAGTAGTTACTCAGTAGTTACTGAGTAACAACAGAGTAGTTACTCAGNAACAACAGAGTAGTTACTCAGTAGTTACTGAGTAACAACAGAGTAGTTACTCAGTAGTTACTGAGTAACAACAGAGTAGTTACTCAGTAGTTACTTAGTAACAAAAGTCATTTTTAAGTACTCAGTAGTTCCTGAGTACTAACGTTGGCCGTAGTTGTTGATGTGAGCAGTTGTCAGCATCTGTCCTCCTCCAGACGCACAACGGAGTGCATGTCTGAGCCGACCAATCGGTTTAGTTGACAACTCATTTAAATACACCTTAACCTTCATGAGGTACTTTGCATTGAGCGTTTATGGTTGATTGTGGGTGTGTAGAGGGCAGAACCTGAGGCGAGATCTTATGCGTAAACTCTGAGGTGCAGCTGTGATCTATAAAGGAAACTATAAAGGAAAGTAGGGCTGCACGATATATCGGCATCAATATCTGTATCGGCAGATATTAGTCATTTTTTAGAATATCGGTATCGGCCTGATAAGTAAAACTGGGCCGATATTAACGTCCGATATTAATTTTCCTCTTTTTCGCTTTGTGTTTCTGTTTTGAGAGGGGAGATGGTTGGTCGAGTGGTACCTGTTTGATAATTATAGTGATATTGATGCTGCGCAGCCAGGAATTACTGAAGTAGAGAGTCATCTCAGGTTGTTTATTTTAGGTATCAAAAAAAGACACAAATGTGTTTGTGCGTATATGTATAATATAATTTGTGTGTTTGTGTAATATTGGTAAATATCGGTTATCGGCCATAACAGCAATAATTATATCGGAAATCGATATCGGATGAAATTTTCATATCACTGCATCCCTAAAGGAAGGTGTGCATGGTTTTATAAATCTGATTTTTTTTTTTCTTTGGCGTACGCCATTTTCACCTTTTGGTCTTACGTTCACATTTAGTATGAATTCTACACAATAAATGAGGCCCCACATGCTAAAATCCTGACCCATTAGCATAAAACGTTTTATTTGTTTGTGTTAAAACATCCTTGTTATCCTGACACAGACATTTCAGATGAGCTGCAAAGAAACTGGGACATGACGAAATTCTTTGCAGCATTTGTTGCATACTCCTTATGAAGAAATCAGACGTTAACGGGTCAGATGGTGTTAAAAAGTTTCAGTCTCAAAAGTTATTTCCAGAAATCTCCCGTGCTCCAGTCTTAAGTGTGTGTGTTCTCCTTTTGCAGGGCGAACCAGAACCATTTGAGGAGACCAACGTGGATCGCCTGATGAGCTCTCTGGGTTACGGAGGTGGATCGACTGGAACTGGGAACAGCAGTTTAGGGGTGAAAGCTCACCGCGGCTCCGACTCCTCCACACTCAGCTCGCAGCCATCCATTGACGAGGTCCGCACGCAGATGCACATGTTGCTTGGCAACGCTTTCAGCCTGGCACCTCCGGACCACGACCCCCCTTCTCCTCCAACCAAGTAAATCTTTATTCCTCCGCGATGCACGCACATCTGCATGGTTGTTTAGCGTCGTGTAGAGGAGAGAGGTCACCTGGTGCTGAGTTTGAACAGTTTTCAGCAGCCCACTCTCAATCTGTTCCTCACAAAGTTGAACAGATTTACAGCTTGGAGAGAGGAAAATAAAATAGTTTTTATAATTTTTTTTATATTTTCTCTCAATACCAGCCACCACCATCACCACCACCACGCTCACAGCGTCTACAACCCGTCCCATTCCAGCCACTACGGCGACGGGGTGACCAGCGCCCCGGGGACCATGAACCACCCCTGTGGAGGCCGGCAGAGGAGCACAGGCTACGAGGACATGCACCAGTGCAGCCTGCCGAAACCGGTGAGCACAACCAGAAGCTCTCTACTAGGGCTGGGTCTCATGCCCAGTTCTCTAAAGCAGTGGCGGAGCTTGGATTTTTCTGAGCAAGGGGCCATCAACGGGCCACAATATTCATAAAGGGACCAAGTATTTGTTCAACATCCTAGCACTCAAATCACTGGTTTTGGTGAGGTGTATACATTTATTTATTCATACAGGGTTCCCGCGGGTTCTTGAAATCCTTGAAAGTTTGTGAATTAAAAAAAGGATTTCAAGGCCCTGGAAAGTTTGTGAAAACAGCCAAAAATTACACTTGTCCTTGAAAGTCCTTGTATGTTTTTTTGCGGATTGAAATTCTCTATTCACATGACTGATTTT